ATTAAAGTTGTCTTTACATGATCCCGAGCCATGAAAATAAATACTAATACTTATATTAGAATATGTTGTTTACCTACACCACACCCCTCTGTAGTACAATTCTTAATTTTCTAAATTCTGAATGATTTATGAACATATAATGATTTGTGCATCAAGTTGAAATTAATCTTTTTTTCAACCTCAAATATTAATAATCATTTTAAGAATCTACACATAAATGAAGTTAATACATAATAATTATTTTTTTAGCAATTCCAAGTGGATATGGTTAAGGTACTTCAATTATTAATGATACAAAAAGAGTGGAGCTCAACACACTAAAACATGCACACTACACTCAATAATTCAAGCCCCCATGGTGCTTCTTTAGTGGAGAGAATACTAGGATTTTATTTATTTATTTATTAAAAAAATAGAATAATCTAGACTGATGACAGAAAGTAACTTCACCAATTTTTCTTATGTGTATATTTACTTTTTATATTATGAATCCTTTTGATAAAATTATATATGTTTGATTAAAACATTCTAAAATTGTGCTTAATATAATGTAATATTGTCTGTTTAGAATCAAACTTGCACAGATTTCTTCAAAAGAACTCATTTGTAGCATTAACCAAAAAAAAAAAAAAACTCATTTGTAGCACTATTTTTTCAACTATCAATGTTAGATTTTATTTGCACACCCGATAATTTTCTCTTTCTCTCACTAAGTATTACATAATTTGATATCTCATGATCTTATCTAGAGATAAATTGTGTACTATTCACAATCGAGTATTTAACTGTATATGATCATCAAAATTCACTGGCTTCTTTTATATGTGTACATGTCTCCAAAGTCAGAGATAAAGATCGGTTTAATTCGTAGATAGGCAAAGCTAGTAAGTCGAGGCCCATAGCTATATTCATCTTGCAGAACCATTGACTATTTTGATATCAATTGTTACGCTAAAACATTCTAAATATAATACACTTTTAATATGATATGATATTGTTCGCTTTAGATAAAATTTGTACAATATTTTTCTTCAAAAAATCTCACATCATTAAAAATATTAGTATATCATATTTTTATAATTCTTTTGGAAAAAAATTACAAATATAAAACTTAATTCTCACATTTAATAAAATTCTGACTCCACAACTAAACGATAGGAAAGATGAAAAGAATAACTCAAAAGATAAACTTCTCTACAATAAAGAATCAACTAAAAGCAAACCATGAGATGAGTGCATGATAGTTTTCTTTTTACCAACTCAAAAGCTACGTACAAAATGATGTCACATAAAGCAATAACTTTAAGACTAAAAATGCTTTACTTGAGCAAAATTATAACTAGTATAAATTATAATAGTACTATACTATATAACTTAATGATTATACTAGAAGGGTTTACGTGCCCCTCACAAACCTTAATATTCTAATTAATTAATATAACTATATACTATGAATATAATTATGGGCACATCATACGTTATGAATCTTTCTCTTTCTTCAATTCATTTTTATTCCTCACTTCATATATAGTTCAAAAATACTACAACTCACAATTACAACAATTGCCGTCCAACTTTATTTAATTTATTTATATATAATCTGTTTCGTATAGTACGTATCTTATTTAATTATTAAAATAATTGCCATACATGTATTAGAAGTGCACAAATTTCTTTTCTAAAAATTATTACTAAAGGAAAAGTATAGTATTTGATCAATGAACGGTATCAAGTTATTGGATTTAATTACTTCTAATCTATGATTGATAAAAATATTTGCAAACACTCAATTACGCCTCAACCCCAAATATATTGAGATCGACTATATGAATTATTACTTTTTTTATTTAAAGTTTAAACTCAATTCATGTCGTCAATACCCGAAATAAAAAGAAAAGAAAAAATAAGTTAAATATATGTATATAGTTATTAAAAAAATAATAGTAGTACTAAGTACACTATAATAAATAAAGAATTTTTGCGACAATATAATATAATTGTTGTTATATTATATTTAGTGACAATAATAAATATGAGTATTGATAACCAACACTCTATTTAAATGTCGTTAAAGACTTGAACGACTCTGAATGCGTGACATTAACTCAATTGACGCTAAAAGAAAATTAACTTTATTGCTGCTATATGTCTCTTTTATTGTAATAGTAGTAGAAGAAGAGGTGTTTACGAAGACTCTTTATGAATTAACAAATTAGACGATGGTTGTCAATCTACCACAATATATATTATGTTCCTTCAGTATTCATATTTTGAAGCTAACAATGTGAACAAGCTCACGATCAATACTATACAAAATTGAAAAATTAATAATATAATGTTGTGACGGTTGGAAGCAGCTAGCAAAAAATGGTCATTTATTATGGAAATTCTAAGGGATTTTTTGTTTTTGTTTTTAATAAGATCCTTGTATCAAGGCATTCATTATGGAAATTGTAAGAAAAAAATGGGTCCTCAAAGCTACGTAAATAAGGTGAGAATAAAGACGCAACACAAAACATTCCTCATTGAATTTTGATAACTTGATGGGGTCTAATTAAACAGTTACAAGAATGGATATATGGGCCACATGCATCAAGTTGACACATGTTTTTTTGGGGTGCAAAGGTAAAATAAAAATATATCGATCTCCGTTTTAATTTATGTGATTCTAACAGTATAATACTAAGCATGAAATTTAGGTAAATAGTATCACTCATCTCTTTTTTGCTACACGATGATTTTCCTTCATTTGCCGATCACTCTTTCTTTATTGGTTATTATTCGAGCGAACGGTAATACATATTCTTATTAGTTTACATAAGAAGAAAGGCTTTTAAATTTATAGCCACGTCTGATATTTTTTAAAAAAAAAAAACATATTAGGAAAAATTATGTCGCGTAAATTGAAATAAAACAAAGATTAGCTAATTAAGACGGAGTTCCCATTAGCATAAATTGATTGATAATCACGCAACTAATTCACACTTAACCCATGACAACGTGCACATTATCCAGTTCCAAAGCAATAATCTATTTTAATAACCTATCCTATAGTCTAAACATTATCGTTTGCATTAATTACTCTGCTTACTTCATTAAATGAACTTAATTCTATATATCATCATTTACATCTACTTATTATGATAAAGTAATATAAAAGAATGAATATATATTAATTAACTATAATCAAGTTATAATTTATAATATATTACTCTCTTTGTTCATCTTTAATATATTTGTCTATATTTGATTTGGCATATCTCTTAAAAAGTAATAAATAAAATGATAATTTACTATATCATTTCTAATTATTATAATTCATCTTGCTCATTAAGAAATGAATTAGAAATAAATAATACTTAAGAATAAGAATAAATAGGTATAAAATAACAAAAGAACATCTATTTTCAGTATAATAACAAATAAAAATACATGAAGGTGATAGCAATGTATATATATTTATGCGCCTATCGGTATGAGATAAATATCGGGTGCAAATAAATTGCTACTATTTAAACCAAAAGGTAATGAATTGAAGTTAATTCAATTTACCTTACTACTATGATTAATTATATGATCCAAATTAAATGTACACGTTGTAAAGGGGAACATGTCATTATTCCATACTTAACCAAACCTAATCATTTGGATGAAACATAAGATTATTATTAATTATCATCCTAAAAATTAATTAATTGGGAGAATTTTCAGAAAGGACGCCGTGATTTTTGGGTCATAATCCAATTAATTAAGTATAAAGTGATGGGCCTAGTTGTACTAAGTAGTAGCACATAAGTGGGTGGGTCGGGTCAACTGCACATGGAATTTTGCTTCATTCATTAACAATCACTAACCCCATTAATCCTAACCAAGTCCACTCTCCCCACTACTTATGTTACGATCAGTTTGTGTATATCTCAACTAATTATATGAGATATTTATTATCTTTTATTAGTATGAATACCATATATTAAGAGTCGAACAAATAAAAAATTACTTCAATATTCTTGCCTCTACTGCTTGAACTCCGATCGTGTACTCTATTAGTGAAGTTTGAGGAGGATGATGTGTGTAGTCTTATCTCCACGTTGAAGATAGAGAGATGATTTCTGATGGATCTCGGCTCAAATAACACATATAAAAATAGACAATGCTTGACTACTTTTATCCTTGTTTCCGACCTCTATATCCTCTGATCTAGGGTCATATCCTCGATAAACTACATGATGTATGTCTCTTGTTTAATCACATCTCTCCATACCAACATAGGCACACAGCTTGTCATACCTTCTTAATAGACATCTGGACATCTTCTCTTCACTTTCCCAAATCATCTCAATTTCACCTCCCTCATTCTGTCCATCACGGAAGTCACTTTACCTTATCCAAACACTCCCTTAACCATCCTATTCAATTGACACTCCATTATTTAAAGCAATAATTATAGATTTATAAAAAGCAACTCTTGTTTTTCTAAAACGACTAGTATTTTTATAACAAATTCATTTTGTCAAAACAATTAACATTAATAATAAATGAACTAATCATACTTATGGACTTGGCAATTAATTGACTTAATCAAACAAACAAGTTATTATAATGACAACTAAAACGTTGTTACTCTTAATTATTACTAGTACCTAGTACAACAACAATAACATAACATATATATTCACGATAGCGTGTACACATATTTACCCCCTACTTGTATCGTAGTTACGATTATAATTTTTTTTCCCCTTTTCTTTTATATGTGGATATATTAATTGTGTGGTGCCAGGCTTGCACTCCAATCCTCCACAAGGTATATCGTTGGCATAAAGTAATGGGGTTGCTTCAAAGCCAACCGAATCTTACTCTTTTCCTCACTTACATATACAATTAAAACTTTATATCATACAAATAAAATTATAAATAATTAAAATAATATCAATTGTCTATATCTATATATATATAACTTGCAAAGTTTGTTAGTGCAAGAAAACAGTGAACATTTTCAAGATTTCTACTCACGGGGGCGGCTTCTTTTTTCATTCTACCTAAAAAAAAAACTCCCTATTAATAACACCATCCAAACTATATACTATATACATATATATAGTCACTTTGTTACATCATTTTCTCCATCTAACCAAAAAAAAAAAAAACTTATCTTTGTTTGATTGCTTTTTCTTTGAAAAAAGTAAGTAATCTTTTAGATGATAAAAATCAAAGAGTATTACACTATGGAAGTTCATGATGATCGTGATCATGATCAAGATCAAGATCAGCAGTTGAACATGGTGATCAAGAGAAGGCGGACTAAGAGACCTAGGCCTCCTTCTCCTCTAACTTTAGGGATTACTACTAGCTCATGTAGCACCGTGGAAGGTGCTAGTAGTGGTGAGTTGGTGGATGGACACGTGGCAAACTCTTCGTCACGTTTGAATAATTGTGGTGGGATGATTGATGATAAGATTGTCAGAAATACGAATCAAGAAGAAGAAGATATGGCGAATTGTTTGATTCTTTTAGCACAAGGTCATAATTACCAAAAGTCATCGTCGTTGTCTCAATCTCCAACATTAGATGTTTATCAATGCAAGACATGCAATCGTTCCTTCCCATCTTTCCAAGCACTTGGTGGACACAGAGCAAGTCATAAGAAACCAAAAATCCTAGATGATCAAATCAAGAATTCGAAATCAAGTGATCATCATCAACAAGTTGAGAATAATATTCGCCTTAAACTGAACAACAACGATGATCATGTCACAACTCTATCACTCCAAATGCCGAGCAACAACAACAACAATAACAACAAGAATAAGAATAGGGTTCACGAGTGCTCGATTTGTGGGGCCGAGTTCACCTCGGGTCAAGCATTAGGTGGACACATGAGAAGACATAGGCCATTACCAAATAGTATTGCAATTGCATCAAATCATCATATCCATGAAGAGTCTGACTCTCATCATCATGATCAACAAATCAAGAACAACACAAGGACATTTTTGTCATTGGACCTTAATCTCCCGGCGCCGGAAGACGATCACCGGCCGGAAAATTCTAAATTCACCTTTGCTACAAAAGAACAAGTCATTGTCTTCTCAGCTTCACCTTTGGTTGATTGCCATTACTAAATCATCAAAAACACTCCCTTTATTTTTATTTTTATTTTTTTAATCTTGAATTATTTAATTTTCAAACCATTGACAATTGTGAATTATAAATTGTTAACATTTATTTTTAATATTAATAAAATATATTATTTGATGATTTAATTAATAAACATAATTCTTTTATGATTATTTAATTTTCTTGTTTTGAATTCTTTGAGTATGGGGTTTAATTTACTCCCATGTGTTTGGCCTTTTGTTTAAAGAAAAGTAATTTCTTTTATCCATCTGATCTGGCTTTCTTCCATATTCTTTACTTTTCTCATGTGTAATTTTAAGAAAAAGTAGACCCCACCCCCCAAAAAAGTACATGAAAGGTATTAATCTTAATTAGTGGAGAATTTAGTGGAAGAAAAAAAAAACATTTTATGTACATAAGTAAGTTATATTGACTTGATCAAACGACAAATTAATTGAATTTTCGATATGATTTTTTTTTTAATTTGTTGTAACGGATTTCCAATTACTTTATTGATCAAGTAACTTGTCCTACTTATAATAAACACTAACCTTCCATTATTACACTATCGATGAGCATTAGTTAATAAACACTTACCTTCCATTATTATACTATCGATGTATAGTAGTTACTCCATTTGTCCAACAATACGTTGTCTACTATTAATTTGATACACTCCTTAAGAAACAATAAAAAAAAATTGGGGTAATATTACTACTTTATCCTTTTGAATTTATTAAATTTAATGCTTTGAGAAATATGTTGGATGATAAATCGTGTTTAATAGAAAGGGTAAAATAGACACAAAAGGTAAATTATCCCTTGATTTTCTAAACTAAACAAGTATTGTCGGACAATTATTATTAGACGGTTAGAGTAAATTCTTACTACAATATATATTTTATGGGAGTTGGAAAAGGAGGATTATGAGTAAAGAAAGGTGTTGAGAATAGAAAGGAACCATGAGTTGCTCACAACCAAAAGTGAGGTGGATTAGGTTATTCTCTTGTTGTCTTCACAAGAAAGTTGTAGCTAACCAAAAAAACTTTTCCTTTATTATGTTTTTATTCGATATTAAATATTTATTTTGAAATACAATTAATTTAAATTCGTGTTGAAAAGCCTCCTTATAAGGTGTAAAACTCCTTACCAAATTGCAACTTCATCTTAAAGGGTTTGAATTCGAAACGGCTATTCAAGTATATGAAAATACTTACTTAATATTATATTTAAATTAAATACTTAATTGTGTGAACTCAATAACTAACACGAGTTATGAATTCGATGACAAGTTTAGAATCCATAACTTTTTTTAGAATCCATAACTTTTTTTATGATAAGGGAAATCCGCAAGTCGCTATCTACACAGAAGAGGTAACTCACACTAGGTTGAATGCGCATAGGGTAAAACCTTCGCCATAAAAGAGGTAACCACATTAGGCAAGTCTGGTTCGACCAGCTCGACCCAGAAGGCGACCCCCTTGCGTTCGCTGGCAAGGAGTTTCGAATATGAAAATTTTAAGTTCAAACCATTGGGCCACCCCGAAGGATCCTAATATATATATTGTGTGTGTCTTTTTCAATGACATATGACAGAACAAAATTTAAGTTGCAAGTGGTCACTAGGTATATTAGTTACTAGTATTATATAGCTGGATCATTCATTTTCTTTATTGGATGTCACCCTATCTTGTACGTATCACTCTAAAATTCCTTATTGCGCAATTTATTGACAATTGCTTTTTATTTAACAGAAAAAGGAAAAAAAAAAGGTTCTTCTTCCGTTTTATTTTATATGATATATTTTGATTTGACATGATATTTAAAAAAAATGAAGATTTTTAAAATGTGATCTAAAACAATTATATTATATATTTATGTGATTGTAAATTATTTCATTAATGATACGAAAATGGTAAATTATAAAATAAAATTATTTTTAATTATAGTAAGAACGGAGAAAGTACTATAGATATGATCATACTCATGAAGGTAATTAAGCACTTCAAAATTAGGAATATTACAAGTTATTAATAGTTTACTATTATTCTTTGCTAGTTCGATATTAACTATAAATATATAATCAAATTTCTTTATAATAACATTATTTATCTCAATATTTTTTCTTATAATATCATACCAAATTGTTATTATTAAATATCATATAGTATATATCACCTTTGATACCACTAAGGTCTAGTAATATTTGTTTGTATTATGAGTAAGGCATCTTTTTGTAGGCGGTGCATAGAGGAAACTGTATATTGCAAGCAATTCAAAGAATTCATATGTTGTATTATATATTCCTTTTTTATACTATATAGTTGCTTCTCGTGAGGGCTAATAGCATTATTTTGCTATGCATTGTAAAGTTATTTTCGTATAATTTATAAGTTTATGAATTTGAGCTGTAAAATTAGTTATTAATATTTATATTAGAATAATTAGGTTGTTTACATCACGGTACTCTTTGAAGCATATGATATTTTTTTTAAATTTACATGAACGTGACACTATTATTTATTCAGATAAATGTAGAACTGGAACTTAGCTGTTGAAAACTAATTTAAATTGCGTGAGACACAAAAAAAAAATTCATATTAAAGGGAGAAAAATATGGGCACGATTTACGATGCATGGCACATGTTTTCTGCTAATTCCTCCATGATTTCCTGCTACATTGGAGCTCACTTTCTTACATATAAAATGTTTTATTTATGGATTTAAGTTAATATATTCCATTATTTTTTTATTTATTCAATATATTTAAAAAAAAATACTTTTACTTGTCTATTTAGTTAAAGGAAAATTACCTAAATACACATCTTGTTTTATCGTAATCTCTAAAATTTCCTATTATTTAAAAAAAATTCAAAATTTTTCTTTCGGATACATCACTCTCCTGCTGATACATTTCTATCCCCCTACATCCTCCCTTCTCTGATACATCTCTCACCTATGTATGCGGATGTTTGTTGATGTAACCGGATGTCGCATCCACTCTCTGATACATCCCTCCCCTCTCGGATACATCCCTCACCTATGTATCCGGATGTCCAGTGATGTATCCGGAAGTCCAATGATGTATCAGGAAGTCCAGCAATGCATCCGAAATCCATAAATTTTAAGGAACTTTTGTAATTTGAAAAAAAGTAGGAAAATAATGTAATTAGCTAAAAAAATTATGAGATAATTTACTAATTTATATCTATTTTATCTTTATTAGTATTAATTAAGTACTATTCGTTCATAAAATGTAGGGTAATGCTAAATGGCCAGAGAATTTGGCCAGAATTTGGCCAGAAATTTAAAAAGTCTATAATATCCTTTTTATTTTAAAATAAATTGATCTTTTTTCCATTTTTTTTAATTTAAGGTATTAAAATTAAAAGGGTAAAAATGTTTAAAAAAATAAAATAACATAAGTGAAATATATTATTTTACCATTCTGGCCAAATTTTCTGGCAAAAAAGATTTTTCCTTTTTAAAAATATTAATTTCATTATACTTGTAAGAACAGTTAACAATATTCAACAAATCATATTAAAAGTATGTTTAAGTAATTTTAGCCCATAAATGCCACTCTTCATTGAATGTGTCTACTTGTGCCTTTTTGTCTTCATTAAATGTATGTCTCTTTTATTGTTGGGTTATATAAGACAATCTTCAACCACTCTATTTTACTCTCCATTCTCTATATTTGGAGAATAAAATAGAGAATGAGCTCTCGAACCATCTTCTATTTCACTCTTTATTCTCCATATATAGAGAGTTGAATAGTAGTTCTCCAAATTTGGAGAACTACTATTCACACTCTCTATTTCACTTTTTCATTATTTTATTATTATTTCTATTACTTTCTAATTAACATATTATTTTACATATAATTCCATTAATTAAATATCTAATATTCATCTTTTAAATGTAATATAATAGTTTTAAAAATATATATTATTTAATATATACTACTTTCATTCCGAATTAATAATATTTCAATTTTTAAATTTTTTTGTCAATTTAATATAATTTGATTTTATTATTAATTTTTACTATAAAGAATGCACAATTTTAAATGGTCTACAATTGTTCAAACTATTCGTAATCCACGTTCTCAAAGAAGAAATATTACGCGATCAAACAAGGATCAAGCCGAAAAGATGTTGAACGTACATTCGGAGGTTTGCAATCACGTTTGCAATTATTGTAGGACAACCACGTTTTTGGAGAAATGAAGTACTACATGATATAATGACTACATGTATTATATTGCACAACATGATAATCGAGGATGGACGTAATCTTAATGCACCAATTCAAGATTCGTAGAGTCTCCAATTGCAACGATAAAAATGGTGGTAGATGAAAATCTTCGATTTGAACAATTTTTAGCTAGACATAAAAAAAATAAGGACAAAAATGCTCATTTTGAACTCCATAATGTGTTGATAGAGCATTTATGTGAGCACCGTAATAATCTTGAAAGTTGGGTATTTATATAATGTTTATATAATTATATTTCATTAATGATTTCACTTTTATTTGAATTGTTCATTAATTTGTATATTATATAATATCTGCTTCCAGTTTATGTTATTTGGAAATTTAGAATAAAATATAATTTTATATTAAAAATAGATTTTGAAAAAATAAAATTTTATATCACATGAAAATTATATAAAAGTGATTATTTATTAAAAAAAAAGAAAAAGAGAGGAGATTTATATTATGAAATAAGAAAATAAGAATGAAATATAAATAATAATATAACATTGAGGAGATAGGAGAAGATTCATTTTTAGAGAGTAAAATAGAGAATTGGGTTGGAGTTGGTCGTCTGAAAAAATAGAAAACTCTATATTTGAAGAGTGAAATAGAGAACTGGGTTGGAGATGCAAAAGAGGCCAACTTAACAAATCATCAAATGATGCACATGCTTCTTGCTGCTACATGAAATATATGTTTAATTTATTTTTCTTTTGGGCAGCTAGAAATTTATAATTGGTCTAATTAATTAGGTGTGCATGAATTTGTAGGTAGTAAAAAGGGTAAAAGTGATCTTATAATGGTGTCAAATAAATCGATTGGGTTGAATTTGAACAGATTAAAATTGATTGAATTACTAAAAAAACAAGTTATTGAGTTACT